GCCAGGAGAAGGAGGAGGCTGTGCTGGCCTCCTCCTCCTGTGGGTGACATGCCTCCATGTCTCCCCAGCTGTTCCTCCCGTGTCCCTTCCCTCAGCCCTCTGTCTGGAGGGGGGCTGCTCCCGGCGGGCCTGAAGATTTCTCTCAGCCCTCAGACACCTTGAAGGCCTCTAGTCCACTTCCCGAGGGGCCCACACAGGGGTGAGGGGCCCAGCCTCCCCAGCAAGCAGCCTCCTCCCTGATGGGTAGCTTGCTAGGGTTCTTTTTTCCTTCTGTGTGGAACGGAAGGCGATGCTGACTGCCCCTTCCTCCTCTCCGTGTGAGCCTCCCAACTGTCCTGTGTGGTAGGCAAGGCTGGGCATCCAGGACCAGCCCAAAGGCACCCAGGAAGCTCCAGGGCTGAGCAGGGACCCACGCCGGGGTCTCCAGGCCCAGCTTCTCTCCGCTGCACCACTGCCAGATAAGCTGCACTGGAGCACGTGCCTGCTTGGGGTGAAGTCTCCGACGTGGCAGGGCCTGCGTGCTTTGGAGCCCAGCTGCAGCCACAGAGGGTCGCCTCCCTCTGGTCGCCAAGCCCAACCAGGAAGAATGTGGCGTGGCCACTTCCGGCGGGTGCTGTGCTGAGGTGCAGTGGCTGTGCCCTCCCCTCCGGGAAGCTTGCTGCCAGCAGGGCACTCCCTTTCCCATGCTTGGGAAGCCCAAGCAGCCCCTCTCCAGTCAGACAGCCCCGGGCCGGGCCGGCAGTGGAGAAAGAGGGTGAACAGCACCTGAGTGAACGAGTGCCATTTTTGGAGGAGGACTTGGCAGCCATCCAGGAGCCGCTCCCCCATCCGAATGTGCCGAATCTGCCACTGGCAGCACACGGTTCCCAGCCCCGTCCACCCTGGCCTGCACTGCAGCCTCTTGGAGTCTCCCACCCTCCCCCTCCCTCTCCCTCTCCCTCTCCCTCTCCCTGGGGGTGGCTCACGGGCACTGGCAGCTGGGCATCTGACACCCACTTGCAGCGCCCATTGATGCCGCTCTTGCCTCGGCCGGCCAGCTGCTCTTCGCCTCCAACAATCAGTTCCCATTTGTGGTGCTTCAAAATGCAAAGCTGTTTTTATGTTGTCTTTGGAGGCTGTGGCATTCAGCAGGTGGCTTGGCCTCTGGTTTTCTATTTCTTTTCTTTAGCGAACAATTTAGAAGGGAACCCTTCATTCAGAGAAGCATGTATTTAGGTGTTCGGAGGTTGAAGTACATCCTGGCACATGTCCAGTTCCAAGGAGGAGGATGTGCAGCAGGCAGTCCGCAGCTGCCCTGTGCTTGGGCCAGCCCCGTCCGTGCGGGAGGCAAGCAGGCGTGCTGGGTGGTCAGGCCTTGAGCCGAAGGAGGCTGTCTGGGAGGAGGTCAAGTGGCACCTGTCCCTGGCTGGCCTGGGAGGAGGGAGCACAGGGCCCAGCTGCTCCTCGCGCTGCCTGCTCGCCCCCACGTCCCATGGATCCTGCCCCTCCTTTGTGGCTGCCCATGGATGTGCCCAAGGAAGCTGGGCTTGCTGGGAGAGGCCACTGCTGTGCTAGTTCGGCACTTCCTTGGGCTGTAATGGGTTTGCCGTGGTGCATCGGGGACAGGGAGACCAGGTGCCGCTTCCCCCCATGGGACGCTCCTGGCATCCCCGCCGGAGCTTTGCTTTCCCTTCACAGCCCTAGCGCAAATCCTCCGAAGCAGCCAGAAAGCAGCTGAGCTTCATCAGCCTCCTGGAGCAGAACTTTTCCTTGGTCGTCTGCTGCTGTGGAGCCTCTGAGTTTGGGGCGAGAAGGCAGGTGAGGAGCCAGCCAGGCTGCAGAGGAGGCTTACAGCAGGGGCAGGTGGGGGTCCCTGGCTCAGGGGGTCATGCCCACCCTGCTATGGGTGCAGGGAGCCCCTGAGATAATCTGTCGCCCATGCAGGCTCTCTAGGAGAGCCCTTCTTTTCCTCCGAGGGGTGCGTGCTCCTGTGCAGCGGGCGCTGGTGGGCGAATGGATTTCCAGCAAGTGGACTCTGACTTGGACCTGAGGTAGCCAGCCCCTGTTAGCCAGCTGGTTGATGCAGACCCAGATCTGTTTAATTATCCGGTGCTTTCAAGCCCTCCCTCCCCTCGCCCCTTGCTGCCAGCCTCTGGGCTGCCTCCTCCTTTGTTCTCCCAGCCTTTGAGACTCCCCTCAGAACAGCCTTTGTTCCCACCTTGCAACTGGCTTGTGTGTATTAGAAGGCCTCCCATCCTTCTAATGAATCATTATGCAGCCCCCTTCCGAGCACTTTCAGATGCTGAAGAGGATGGATTGGCCGGGCTTGTCATGATAGACTTGGAGGCTTCTCCTGGCCCTGTTGGCATATTTGCGGCTGCTTTGCCAGCGCTGCCTTGACCTCCTGACTGGTGGCAGGGGGAATAAGCCTCTCTCTCTGCTTCGGAAGCATCCCTTCCGCTGATGGATGATCTCCGCATTGGCCAAGCTTAAGAGCTCCTACCGTCTTACTGGCCCCATGCCAAGTTCTGGAGTCACAGTCACAAAGTGCTTGGAACAGGGAGATGCTTCCCTGGAGCTGCCCCCCTTCCCATCCAGCTGACCCCCTGTCACAGCGGCACAAATGCCCCCAGCCCCAGTTCTGGCCTCCAGGAGCAGCTGCTGGGCGGGTCACTGCCTCCGCCCTGTTGGTCACGCTGGCGCCATGCAGCAGCGAAAAGCAGCTTTCAGCCTGCTGAGGTCGGGGGGACAGGGCTCTGCTGCATCCCCCCAGTGCCAAGCAGATGCTCTTGAGATTACTGCACAGTGACAGTTAAAGTGAAGGAACATCCTAGCAGAGCAGGTGGGAGGCAACAAGCCAGCTTTCTCTTAGCGGGATGTAGCAATGCAGAGCCCAGCCTGGGAGTACAGAGCATCGCGAAAGCGTGAGCACACAGAAGGCACCAGGCCAAGCGGACAGCCCTTCCCTGGAGCTCTCGGCTTGCTTCTTCAGCGGCGACCCACAGCCTCCTCTGGCCACCGTGGCTCTGCACAGAGCAGCGCACCCGTCCACTTCCAGGGCAGGGCCTGGCCTGGCCTGGTGGCAGCCTTGGAGGACACCAGAGTCTGGAGGGATCCCCTTGCTCTCAAGGGCAGTGCTCTCTACCTCTGCTTGGCCGCAGCTGGGAGCAGCGCCCCTCCCAAAGCAAGCGCAGAGGATGCCTGTTGCGGCAGAGAATCCCAACTTCAAGGATACGCAGATGGGATCCGAACTTGCAGGGACGGAGCAAGAAGAGCGTCTCTGGGCTCTGCTGGACCACTCGGCGCAAGTGCCACCCCGTGCGCAGCCACTGCGAGGGAGGCAGACGCCGCCACACCGGGCTTCGTTAGGGATGGAGGAGAAACCGGGACCGCCAAGATCTTGCTTCCCTCATGGAAGGCCTTGGTGCAACCGCACTTGGAATACTGAGTCCAGTTCTGGTCGCCTCGCCTGGACAAGGACGTTGTTGAGTTGGAAAAGGTGCAGAAGGGCAGCAAAGATAAGCAGCTGCCATACCGGAACTGCTCAGCTTAGAAAAAGGGCGAGACATGGTAGAAGTGGTAAAAGTAATGCATGGTGTGGAGAAAGTGCGGGGGGCGGACAATTTTCTCCCTCTCGACACCTGAACCCAGGTTCATCCCATGAAGCTGAGTGGTGGAATGTTTATTGCTTATTTGTTATTAGATTTATATCCACTTTTTTCCCTTTTTTTAAGAACTCAAAGCAATTTACATCATTCAGGACAGGTAAAAGGAAGCCCAACAGGGAAGGCGCCAGCCTAGCCCTGCTGGAGAAAGGAGTTCCAGAGCCTCGAGGCAGCCACCGAGAAGGGTCTCGCTCATGCTCCCTCCAAGTGTACCTGTGGGGCTGGTGAGACCAAGAGAAGCCCCCCTCCCCGGAAGATCTTAGAGCTCAGGCTGCCCCTCCAGGAGGATATGGCCTTCCAGCTGGCCTGGATCTGAGTTGTGGAGGGCGCTGTTGTCATCAGCAGCGGCACATTGAATTGTGCCCAGAAACAGACTGGGAGCCAGGGAAGCTGCTTCCACAGAGGAGACGCGTGCGTTCTGTCGCCAGCTCCAGTCAGCAGCCCGGCAGCAGCTCGCTCAACCAGCTGAGGCTTCCAAACGCCCCTCAGGGCAGCTCCATGAAGGGCACGTTGCAGCCCTCCAGCTGGGATGCCGCTCAGGCAAGTGCCGCCATGGCCGAGTCAGGCAGCCCAAGGAAGGGGGCAGCTGGTGCACGAGCTGCAGCCATGGCCGAGTCAGGCACCTGGGCAGCCAGACTCAGGGATGCATCAGGAAGCGTGCAGCCCCCTTCTACAGGCTGCATGCGGCTCCCTGACCTGCCAGCAGCCCCTTCTCTTGCTGGGTTAACCTAATTTGCCCGTAAGACTGAGCATTTCATCAGCCTCCCTTCCACAAGCTCGGGGACAGGTCCCTGCCCGTCACGCTGCTTCTCTGCCATCCCTTGCCGTGCCTGGGGCTCCTTGACGTCCAGCCCAGCACTGGTTCCCTTGCAGTAAGCGAGCAGGTGTGGTGGGTGGGGCTCACTGGGCCCTCCAGCCCCACAGGGACAGGCAGGCAGGAGCAGCTCTGCAGAGAGGGCTCCCGAGGGAGCGGGGATGACCTGCCTCCCCCTGCACTCCCCTGCTCAGGTGAGAAGTGCTGACTCAGGCCGGCGCACGGGGAGCACAAATGGTGCAGCCGTAAAACAGAAATATCAGAGTTGTGGCTACGATAAAAGCGCTGTGCGGATCTGGCTGGCGTCGCCAGCTGTTCCCCTGCAGTGCTCAGAGGATTTATGACTGCAAGAGGTGGGGATGTCACGGGCAAATTGGCTGTAAAGGGCTGGGCTCCTTTTGCCCTTGATCCGAGGTGTTTCTTCCCTGGAGGAACTTGCAGATTGTGGGAGCTGAGCACCTGAGCCTCCAGCTGCCCTGGCAAAGGCACCGGCACCCCTGGAAGCCGTGGCACCTGCGGGAGAGGCGAGCACCCATCTGTGCAGGTGGCTCCACTCGAAGCTTGGTTCTGACCCGGCCGGACCCTGGCGATGCTCTGAGGAGGCCCAGGCCGCCTCCCTTCCCTACAGGCTTGGTGACCCTGGCCAGGTGCTTACCTGCTCTGAAGAGGTGGGTTCCAGGAGTGTCAGGAAGCAACCGTGTGCTCTAGGAGCTACTCCAGGCCCTTTGCACCAGGGCTCTGTGGGTTCCTCTGGTCCGGCACGGGGTAGGGCCGAGTGCCACCGCTTCTGGGTGCCTAACCTTCTGCAGCTGGCATGGGAGGGAGAGGCGGTGGAGGCGCAGTCTGCGGCAGAGGGGGCTGCCCGGTTGCTGGAGTCACAGATTCAGACCCCGCAGGCTTCGGCTCCTGGGGCCACCTGGGCACCCTCCCTGCCCATGCCGCTGTGTGCTGCTGCACTGGAGGGGCCGGGCACCGGGCCAGTGGCCTTCCTCCTGCCACGGCTGGGGGTTGCATCGCGCAGTGGCAGGTGGGAGCCCCTGAATTCCCGGCGCTATGGACAGGAGCTCCACTGCTTCCCCACCAAAGAGCACTCCCGCTGCAGGGAGCCGGCGGCTGCCTCTGTGGGGGCCGCCTGTTCCCCAGCGGCCCCCCTGCATCACTCACGTTTTCCTTGTCCTCTGCACCCCTCCCTCTCTTGCTCCCCCGCCATGTTCCCAGTCTGCACTTGCGCTCACTGCTCCCGGCTGAAAGCGGAGATCAGCGTCCGGGCTGCTGCTGCACCACAGAGAGTGGCGCCTTCCTCAGGACCTCCAGTTCAGCAGCCACCCCAGTATCCTGCTCGGCTGCCTCTGCATGTGCTCAGCAGTGCCAGAGCAGCCCCTGTCAGGACGGTGGGGAAGGATCCAGAGAGGCGCGTCTGCCTTCACCTCAAGTTGGGGGTGGGGGTGGGTGCCAGTCAGCCTCAGACACGCGTGACATTCTGTGCATTCCCACCCACCTCAGAGCCACACAAGATGCTATTAGGAGAAGGCAGAGAGAGGGCAAAGGGAGCTCGAGCGCTGCTGTGGCAGAGCCGTCTCCCCGGGAATGTCTGCAGCACAAGTGCCGGGAAAAGCAGTGTGAGCGTCAGGCGGGAGTGTTCGGGAGCAGCGCCCAGAGCTGTCCTCCGCACCTTGCCCTCCCAGGGCTGCCCCGCCGCCGCTCTTGCCCACAGAGCCAAGAGACCCCAGAGGGGGCCACCAGGGACAGGGGCTGGGGGGCTTCCAGCTGGCTGCTCTCCTGGGCCCGTCTCCCCGGCATAAGAGGGGGCTGGCCTTAGCCTGCCCACCCAAGCCCCGTTTCCTCCATTGGCACGGGGTGCCTGAGCATGTGAACTTGTGCCCCCCCCCCCCAGTGTGATCCCACCGTGATTTAAGTGCTGCCGTGGGCCTTTTCTTCACCTGCAGTGAAGCTGGTCGCACTTTATTGCCAAAGCACCCTCCTCATGGCCACAGAGCTGCACGGACGGAGGCGCTGAGGCCTTGCAGGTGCAACTAGAAATCCGTGACTCCCTCGTCTTGGGGAAGGTGCAGTTCCTCGTGGTGCCTGAGCAAGGTCTCTACTCCCCGCTGGCCCTGCCAGTGCCCACGTAGTTTGCAGCCATGCACCCAGGCAGGCACTCAAAGTCCCGCTCAAACGGGGAGCGTGGGGAGGGGAGGCCACAGTGCCTGGAGGTGCTCAGTCGGGCGCCTCACTCTCCCCACCTGGCCTCTCCTGCGCTCTCCTCTGCTGTGCTCCACTGCCTTTGGCTGGCCAGGCCCTCTGGCAGCCCTGGACCCCATGGGCAGTGCCAGTGCCGGGTCAGCCATCCAGACAGGGGAGAACCTGCACTTCTTGTCCTGGCAGAGCCATTGCCTGGTGGGGGTCTTCCTCCCAGCCCCCCAGCCCCGCCCACCCCAGCCCTGGTTGATTTCTTATGTGGAGGTTTCTCTGGGCATTCTGGCGGAGCAGTCCATTTTGATTCCTGCAGTGTGGCAAACGGCAGAAACTGCCAGGGTTTCCCTTGGAGCATTCCAGTTGCTCCGCAGTGCCTCTCCCACATTTGCCCCCCGCTTTCGAGAGGAAGGAAGCCATTCCTGCAAGGAACTGGGTGACGGAGGTATTGGCAAATCCGCCAGGGCCTCCGGAGGGCTCTGAGTGCAGCCTCCTCCCTGTTGGATCACTGCCGCCTTCTGGAATGCCTCACCTGCTGCTGGTGCTCCCGTCTCAGCAGTGCTGCTGCCAGCGATGCCCAACAGGCTGTCCCCAGCCCGTGTGGCGCTGACGCATTCGGGAAGGGCCACCTGCGTTTGGCCACCCTTGGCTCCAAGCGAGAGCATCCTTGCGCTTCCAGTTCTGTCCAGCTCCTGAATCCTCGGTATGTCATCCGGTGGAGCATTCAATGTGATACTCTGGCCTCGCAAGGAAAGGGCTTTCTCAGTGGTGGCTCCCGCCTGTGGAATGCTGCCCCCCGAGGCCCCCTGGCGCCAACTTGCTGCCAGACCTTCCTCCCCTCCCAGGCCTCTGAGGATGGTGCTCAGAAAGGCAATTAGGTCAGTTATTTGGTCAAGATCGGAGCAAATGTTCTTCAGCTGTTTCCCACTGTTTTCAAAAATAATTTATATCATGTTTGATATTTGTAAGCTGTAATTTTGTGAATTCTGCAGCTCTCATTGGCTACGGGCCAGAATGGAAATGCAATCCATGGAGCCCCCCGGCCCCTTCCATTTGCCAGGAGGCTTTCTCTAATCTCCGGAAGGATTCGCCCCAGCACGCCTTTGAGCAGGGGTGCGGGGACAGGAGGCCTCCCGCCCCACCCGTTCCCTGGCGGTAACACGCCCACAGTCCCCGCACAACGGGCCAGCCCAGTTTAGTGGTGCTTCCTGGAGCCGCTTTGGCCGCAGCCTGGGGGCTCCAGGGGGGCTCACCAGGCCTCCAAGGTGCGGCCCAGCATTTGTGTGCGATCGCCCACAGGCCGCTCCTTTCTTGCCTGCACGAAGGGCGGGGAGCCGTTCGCTTTCTGACTGTTCGCTGCGTGTGCAGACAAGCGTTTGCTTCAGCCCTTCTGCCATGCCTCCCGCTTTAACACCCGCAGGGGTCTGCATTTTGACATGCCTGGACCTTTCCCCCTCAGAAAATAAGATGTGTTTGCCAGGGAAGGAACGGGCAGCGAGTTATCTTCTGTAACCAGCAGCTGTTCCCGAAGAGAGTGAAGCAGAGTGAAGTGGCCGAGTCGCTTCTTGCAGCGTGTGCAGAATTCCTGACAGGCCGCCGAGCCGCCGGTTGAGGCTCGGCTGGGAATGGCCTCCCACGCTGCAGTGATCCCCAGCCAGAGTGCTAAGGCCTCGGCTCCAGACGCCCGTGGCCCGGCATGGAGGCAGAGCAGCCGTGAGGCTGGCTGGAGGCAGGGAGCCGAGCTCGCCCTCCTCGGTTGACCCCACGTGAGGCTCGCCCACAAGCCGCCCTGCTGCTTGGCAGGCCACAATGGGAAGGCATGGTCCCCTTTGGATCAGCCGTCTGACTCTTCTGGGGGAGGGAGCGACTCTGTGCAGCGCGTCCCCCGCTCCTCTGCCGGCAGGGAGGGAAAGGTCCTTTGCTCGGCCCGAAGCTACCCGGCGCAGCCCCAGGCTGTCTTGGCCTGTTGGGATGCTGGTTTCTAAGCTGCACTGCGAAGGCCTCCTCCTTTAAGCCCATCTGTAGAAATTGTAAAACGTAGGGTAAAAGGTACTCTTTTTCAAATTGGTGAAGCCAATATCAAAAGAAAGTTCATTTGGGAAGAAAGGGCTCGCAGAAAAGGGACAGAGAAAGAAAGGTAACGGAATCAGACACGAGCTTTCAAGCAAAAGAAAGCCAATCCAATTTGGCTAGTCACGTGTGCTCTGCTGGGGGCCCTAGAGAAGTCAGGAGAAGATCAGTCTGTGTTTTATAGACTACAGCAAAGCTTTTGACCAAAGCCAAACCCATCCACACGGTTGCCGTCCCAGCCACTCTGAACACGTGTGAAAGCTGCATGGTGTTGTGAGCTGTGCTCCTTCCACCAAGCAGTATCAGTCTTGCCAGCATTTCTTTGCTAGACATGTTCATCGTTATGTTGGAGTCTCTGAGCATTCACAAAGCGAAATGTTGGACCCTTTCTGTTACTCATTTCCCAAAACCCTCTTTCTGTATCCTCCCTCTCTCTCTCTCTCAGAGGAGGAGCACTGTGGAATCAGGCAAGCCTTTGCTCCCCCACTGAGTCCTGAGTTGGGCCGCTCTCACTATCAGGTCTGCCTGAGCAGAGGTGGGAGTCCCCCATTCGTAAATGCCCCTTCGCCATGTCTCCTCCCTCAGGGGGCTGCAGCTCCTTCCTGTCCCCATGGCAAGGTTGACCGGGCCCTTCATCTGCCCCTGCTGTACCCTTGCTTCACCTCCCACAGCTAACCCCGCAGAGTCCCCAGACCTTCCAGCACAGCCGGGGCTGGGGCTGTTTCGAGAACAAGCTCGTTGTCAGAGTCTGAGCAAGTTGTCCTGCTAGGGTAGGTCGCCTCCCACACACACACCTCGTCACCAGAATCTGAGCTGCCATTCCTGCCAAAACAGGTAGCCCCTTGTGCACACGCCTGTGATCTGACAGACACATGCGCATGACCCATGGTGAAGGAAGCCAACAGAAAGAAAATCGGCACATTCCAGACATAGTGCTAGAGCAGAGCTTTGCACATAGCCTGCACTGACAGAAATACGAACAAGATGAACAGATCAAGCCAGAACCTTCCCAGGAAGCAAAATAATGAAACTGAAGCTGCTGTACGGCAGCACATCATGAGAAAGTAAGATGCTCCAGAGAAGAAAAGCATGCCAGGTTAAGTTGAAGGCAGAAGAAGAGCAGGGAGGCCAGCTATGAAATGGCTCCGTTCCACAGTGGAAGCCTCAGCCTTGAGTTCCCAAGTGCTGCACAGGGCTCTCAAGGACAGGAAATTTTGGACAGCATTCTTTCATAGGGTTGGCATATGTTGCCGAAGTCTTGGCTGCACAAAGCAGCAGCTTTTTGCCTGATTGAGAAGAATGTTTAGGGCATGACCCTGCAGAAAAGATGGAGGATTAGTCTCTCGAAGAACAGCTTCAGTCGCCTGATATGCATGGGAATGGGGCACTGCCTCATGCACTTATG